CCACCTATGTGATCGGCCCATGCTCCGGAGTAGGGAAGAGACGCATGCTCCATGTGAACATGCTCAAACCCTACCACGAGCGGACGGAGGACGTGGCAGCTATTTGCACGCCCGCCTCCGAAGATCAGGAGAACCTGCCCCTTCCGATCTGTTAGAGCAGGAGGAGCAGAAGGAACCCTCCCAGGGGGTTCAACTGGGGGAGCGGCTAAGTCCTCAAGAGCGTATTCAGGTACAAGAACTGATAGCAGCAAAGGGCGCTACCTTTTCTAATCTACCTGGGTACACTCCACTAGCCACCCACCGAGTAGAAACCCCGGGACAGCTTCCCATGCGACAGACTCCATATCGGATTCCTGAATCCGTGCGGGAACATATGAGGAAGGAAATCGAAGAGATGTTGCAGTTGGGGGTTATTGAACACTCAGATAGCCCCTGGGCATCGCCGGTAGTCCTGGTTCCCAAGAAAGATGGTACCACCCGGTTCTGTGTGGACTACCGGAGGTTGAACGACAAAACTGTGTCGGACGCCTACCCGATGCCTCGGATAGACGAACTGCTTGATAGGATGGCCAGGGGTCAGTATCTCACTACCATAGATTTGTGTAAGGGATACTGGCAAATTCCACTAGCCGAGGACGCCATTCCTAAGTCGGCGTTTGTCACCCCGTTTGGCTTGTACCAATTTCGAGTCATGCCATTCGGGATGAAGAACGCCCCCGCGACATTCCAGCGGATGGTGGATCGGCTACTGGACGGGTTCCAGGACTATGCGTGTGCATATCTGGACGATATTGCCATCTACAGTCAGACCTGGGCAGAACACCTACAACACATAGGGGCAGTAATAGACCGGATTCGAGAGGCAGGGCTTACCTTGAAACCCAGCAAATGCCACATAGGGATGGCAGAGGTCCAGTACTTAGGACACCGGGTTGGTAGCGGGCAGCAGAAGCCTGAGCCCGCAAAGATTGAAGCTGTAGCCCAGTGGCCTACCCCTAGGACCAAAACCCAAGTCCTGGCTTTCCTAGGTACCGCAGGGTATTACAGAAAATTTGTACCCAACTACAGTGCCCTGGCCAAACCCCTGACTGATTTGACGAAGAAAAACCTGCCCCGGCAGGTCGTCTGGGCCCCAGAGTGTGAACAGGCATTCAACCAGCTGAAGACGGCTCTGACCAATGCCCCTGTACTGGCTGCTCCTGATCCAACTAAACGTTTTCTTGTTCACACAGACGCCTCAATGTTTGGATTGGGAGCAGTACTGAGCCAGGTCGGAGCCGATGGCGGAGAACACCCCGTAGCCTACTTGAGTCGGAAGCTGCTACCCCGAGAAGTGAGCTACGCCGCCATAGAGAAGGAATGCCTGGCCGTGGTGTGGGCTCTGAAAAAGTTACAGCCGTATCTCTATGGGCAACCCTTTTCTTTGCTCACAGATCACAACCCGTTGGTGTGGCTAAACCGTGTGGCGGGAGACAATGCCAGGCTGCTGCGCTGGGGTTTGGCGCTGCAGCCCTTTGACTTTACAATACACTACCGCCCAGGGAAACAAAACGGTAATGCCGACGGGTTGTCCAGACAAACAGACCTTGAGAAGTGATCTGTGAGCACTCCCCCGGACATCCCCAAGCCGATCCGTTGGGATCAGGCTGTGTATGCCGGCTTGGTTCTGGGGGAGCATTGTGGCAAACCTAGCCACTTGGACAATAACCAGAGACTGTGCCTTTAAGGGTTGCCACTAGGTCGGGCGAGATATGCGCTGTACACATATGTAGATGTTAAGGTATTTTCCGTGTTGCCTGTAATACTGTTTCCGCCGAATGCAATTGGCGGTTTTGTATGGGGATTTTCTTTCGTTTCACGAACGGCACTTTAGAAAGCCGTTCGTGAACCGAACGCGATACCCCCTAATAGCCCACACACTTAGAGGCGTGTGGCGCTAGTTAACCGATTGCAACATTGTTGCAATCGGTTATTAGAGGCTCTCCTGGGTGGCCGTCGTTCGACTACCGACCATGCGGCGGTCGGCCATCTTGGATCCCTTGTTCGTCAGCGGGTTCGTGTCGTCGAACGCATACTACTACCAATAGTTATTCGACGGCACGAACACCGCTGAGCCTCCCAGACGTTCGGGAGTTTCAGGACCAAGTTCACCCAAAGCAATCGGTTCCTTTTGTGGGTTTTGTAAGAAATGTGTTTTCTGTGCGGCGTTCGGTTAATTTGGCTGGGATCTGAGCGGCAATCTCACGAATGATGCGCCCAGACCCCAGCTATCTACCGAACGTCCATTCGTGTAAATCCACCGTGTATGTTAAAAGTTATGTATTTTTATATGAATTGCCGGTTCTGCTGCACGAGGGGATAATCCCCTTAACGGTGCATTCTGGGAGGATGATCCCTCTCGTGCAGCGGTGCCTGATGGGAGAAATATGTTATACTGTAAGTCCCCCATGTAGTCCCCTCTGGGAATACCCCTGGGAAGGGACTCAGGAGACCCCTTGCATGGGGACTTGTATAAATTGTCGTGCTGAATAAAGGATTGTCAGTTGACTCCCAAAACTGTGTCTCGTCCGGTTATTGGGAGGTTGGGGATATTGCCTTGGTGTTTTCAGCGCTTGACTGTGGATTCGTTCTGGACCAGCGGAATTCGTGGATTGTATATTGGCGTTCCGCTACAAGAATAAGAAAGGGAGGGAGCGGAGTAAGAGGAGAGGGGAATAAGAAAAGGGGAGAGGCGGAGTAAGAAGGAGGAGATAAGAAAAAGAGGGGGTAAGAAGAAGAAAAGAAGAAGGGGTGAGTAAGAAAAATTAAGGAGTAAGAAGAGAAAAGAGTAAGGAGTAAGAAGAAGAAGAGGGGGTAAGAAGAAGGGTGAGTATGAAGAAATGGGGGGAGTAAGAAGAAGAAGGGGGAGGAAGAGGAAGAAGAAGAAGGGGGAGCAATAAGAAGAAGGGGGGTTAAGAAGAACAGGTGGGGGAGTAAGACGACCAAGGGGGGAAGTATGAAGAACACAGGGAGGAGGGGGTAAGACGAACACAGGGGGTGTGAGGAGAACACATAGAGGGAGGAGTGAGAAGAACACAGGGAGGGTGGAGGGGGGATGAGAAGAGCACAGGGAGGGTGGGTGAGTGTGAGAAGAGACCGCTAGGGGAGGGTGGGGGAGAGGAGAGACCACTAAGGTGCAGGGGAGAGGAGAGACCACTAAGGTGCAGGGGAGAGCTCTACGGGACAGAAGGGGCAGCTCTATAGGACAGGGGCCAAGACAGGGAGCTCTTTCACACTACGCGCGCGCACACACACACACAATGCATCCCTATACATACACAGAAACACAACATGCTTCCCTTACACACAGAGAAACACACAATGCATCCATTACACACACACACACAATGCAACCCTTACACACAAAGACAATGCATCCTTTGCACACATACACAGAAACAGACAATACAAACCCGTACACACATATGCAAACACACACACTTCTTTTCTTACATACACACAGAAACACAATGCATCTCTTACACTCAATGCACACACATACAGACACACACCTTGCATCCCTTATGCATACAAACACAGATTCACACAATGCATCCCTTACACACAACCAGAAACACATAATACATCCCTTATACACAAATACACACTGCTTCCACTACACACAAACACACTACATCACCTGCACAAACTGGTAACCCTATACACTACATACCATAAGCACACATATTAGATCCTCTACAATAACACATAACACATCCCCTACACACTCCACTCCCTGTGAGCGAACTCATGGGTGGGTGGAACTTATGAGTGGGCCTTATGGGCATACTCACCGTCAGGCCCTGGGGCCCAGACCTTGAGCTGTGTAAGGGGCCCCAAAAAATGGAGCTGCTTCCAATTCTCCCAGAACATTGAATTTTGTGACCACAGCTGCAAACAGCCTCCAGAGATCCTGTTCTACACCAGACCAGTGGAGCCAAACTGCAGCCCATCATCATCCTCATCTGCTTGTAAGTAGGCAATCTAGTATATTATTAGTGACACTAATCTATAATGTACCTCACATTAAAGGGACACTATAGCTTAATGAAGTGGTTCTGGTGTCTATAGCTGGTCCCTGCAGGCTTTTTAATGTAAACACACACTGTGTGCAGCACTGGCGTTAGTTCATATGGGTGGGGCATTGTGATGTCACATGGGGGGGCAGCAAATTTTTATTTTGTCTAGGGCGGCAAAAATCATTGCACAGGCACTGATCCTGGGCAGGTGCACCAGTCTACTGGTGACCCACAGGAGGGGAGTGCACTGATTGCACTGCACTCTCCTCCTGTCCAGCCCCATCTTTACCACAGTGCAAGTGCCCTCTGCCCCTAATTTACAGTGGCTCACACTCACAACAAGCAGTGCCTGGAGCCGTGAAGGAGCGGGTATGGCAAAGAGCTACTGATTAGCATAACATCAATATCCGTTATAAAACCAGGAAAAGGTGGGCATGGATGGTGAACTGATTTGGTGGTGCAATGGGCCACTTGACTGGTTTTGCCCCCCAGGCCTAAGGCTGCCAGTCCTCCCCTGCTTGTAACTGTGTGTATGTGTGATACTGACGACCTGTAACTTTGTGTGTGTGTGATTACCTTTAACTGTGTGTGAGTGTGACTGTCTGTAACTGTGTTTTTGACAATATACCAGTAACTGTGTGTGGCTATTTACCTGGGACTTTGTGCAGCACAAATATCACACACATATATCACACACAGTCAATACAACCATTACAAATATTACACACAGCCAACATGCCTATCACACACAGACAACACGCACACTACATCATATTATTATGCACCTGGTGGAGGCGCCGACCAGATTACCAGCACACTGGATCACCAGAGATCAGCATGCCCCCCTCCCTGCAAGGTAACAACAGCGAAGGGGGGATATATGTTTGTTTTTAAATAATTATAATTTTTTTAAATATTATAAACAAACAATACAACTATTGACACACACTAAACATGGATGAAAGAGTATGACCGGCGGGAGGAGGGGGGCGCTGTAATGATTTTTCGCACAGGGCGCCTAAAAGTCTAAGGCCGGCCCTGCTAAAAGTAAATGGGCACGAGGGACTTCCTGGCAACATAGCAACTTCATTATAATAAAGTTATTATGGTGTTAAGTTTGTATATATTTTGCTGTACATTAATAGGAGCCTTTACATGCCACTTCATTCACAGATTAAATTAGAAATGGTAAATAATAGTAAGACAAACAGGAGAAGCAGTAAAAAAACAAAACAAACTATATATATATATATTTATGTTAAATATATTATACATCTTACATATAGAGAGAGATTTATAAAAACATTTTTTTACTATTCCCCCTGTTTTTCCCGTTATTGATCACTTCTCAAACTGTCACTTGGTCTGCCTGGAAATGCCATTGTAGCCCAGGGTTGCCCAAAAGGTAGATCCCCAGATGTGGTGAACTATAACTCCCATGATGCTCTGCATGCCTTTAGAATAACAAAGCATCAAGGAAGCTGTAGTTTTAAAATACCTGGGGATCTTGCTTTTGGGCACCCCTGCTGTAGACAGACTAGTGTTGGCATGGCAGGGGTTAACTGGAAAAGGGATTAATAGTGAACATCTCATTTAACAACTGAAGCAATCTGTGCAGCATGTTATGAAGTTGTTACATAGGGAATATACTAATAATGATAATAATAATAATAATGATGATAATAATGAATGATAACTGATAGGAGTATATATAACTCAGGGTCAGGGTATCAGCAGGAGTGACATGTGGGCGTGGCTAGGGACATGTGGCGATGAAGCCAGGGGGCGTGGTTAGGACCGCGTGCAGTGACGCAGGGTAGAGGGCGTGGTTTTCCATTGGTGGGTGACAGAGACCGGAAGTGTGCTCGCTGTTCTCGTTCCGTGTCTGTCGGTCCGGGGTTCCCTCTCTGTAGTTCCCACGTGTTCCCAGTGACCCCGCTGCCCCCAGTCCCCGGGCTCCGTGTCCCGGCAGGCGGGTCCGTGCGGTGAGTCGGGATCGGCCGATGGTGAGACCCGCTGAAGTCGCGCTATGATTGGATGTCAGCTGCTGCGTGTGACGGCCGGGGCGGGGCTACATCGCTGGGCAGGGGGTCTGAGTGCGGGTCTGCGGCACAGAGCGAGCGGCAACCTGGGCACTGAATGCAGGTAAGCGGGGAACTCATTTACGGGGACACCATGCTGATAGTGTGTTGTATGTGACATTCATATCCACTACTGACACTGACCGTGTAACTATATAACTGGGGTACACTGACCGTGTATGGGGGGGGCAACTATATAACTGGGGTACACTGACCATGTATGGGGGGGCAACTAAATAACTGGGGTACACTGACCATGTATGGGGGGGCAACTATATAACTGGGGTACACTGACCATGTATGGGGGGGGCAACTATATAACTGGGGTACACTGACCATGTATGGGGAGGGCAACTATATAACTGGGGTACACTGCTAACACTGACAATGTATGGGGGGGCAACTTTATAACTGGGGTACACTGCTAATACCGACAATGTATGGGGGCAACTATATAACTGGGGGTACACTGCTAACACTGACAATGTAGCAAGAGCAACTTTATAACTGGGAGTACACTGCTAATACCGACAATATGGGGGGCAGCATGACTGGGGTACACTGCTAACACTGACCATGTATGGGGGGGCAACTATATAACTGGGGTACACTGCTAATACTGACAATGTATGGGGGGCAACATTATAACTGGAGTACACTGCTAATACTGACAATGTATGGGGGGGCAACTTTATAACTGGGGTACACTGCTAATACTGACAATGTATGGGGGACAGCGGGCAGCTTCTAACTGGGATCCTGTGCTAATACCTAGGGAGACATGGCATGTGACACCTGTATACACTAACCCTGAGAGTGCAAGGGGGAAAGGGCATGTGACACCGGTATATACTAACCATGAGAGGGACAGGGCATGTGACACCGGTATACACTAACCCTGAGAGTGCCAGGGGGACAAGGCATGTGACACCGGTATACACTAACCCTGAGAGTGCCAGGGGGACAAGGCACGTGACACCCGTATAAACTAACACTGAGTGCCGGGGGGGCAGGGCGTGTGACACCAGTATACACTAACCCTAAGAGTGCCAGGGGGGCAAGGCACGTGACACCCGTATAAAGTAACACTGAGAGTGCCGGGAGGCAGGGCGTGTGACACCAGTATACACTAACCCTGAGAGTGCCAGGGGGCAGGACATGTGACACCCATATACACGAACACTGAGAGTGCCAGGGAGGCAGGGCATGTGACACCGGTATATACTAACACTGAGAGGGATAGGGCATGTGACACCCATATATACTAACACTGAACGTGCTAGGGGGACAGGGCATGTGACTCCTGGTATCCATTCAAAACCTTAAGAGTGGTAATGTTTAACAGGGCATGTGGCACCCTAGGAATGCCAGGATGGGGACAAAGCATGTGACACTGGTACCCACTGCTAAACCTGAGAGTGCCAAGGGGGACAGGGCATGTGACACACTGCTATTCAGGAAATAATCATATGAGTCCCAGGGTGGGTACAGGGCATGTGATCCTGTCAACCAGTACTAACTCTAAGAGCTCTAGAAAGTCACTGGAATTCAGTACTAACCCAGTGCGTGCGGGCAAAGGCATATGATACCGGAATCTATTACAAACCCCAGGACTGCCAGTAGAGGAAGAGGACAAGTGACATGAGCATCCATTAATTATCGTAAGAGTGTCCTAAGGGAGCCAGGACATGTGGCACATGCATGCAGGACTAAAACTCAATAAGCCTGCTGGAGGACAGGGCATGTGACTACAAACCTTCAGAGTGAAGGGAACATGGCATATGCGTCTCTGACAGTTGTTATGGCAGTAACCAACTCAGGCCTGTCTATGTGCATGCTGAGAACTTCAGATAAGGTAGTTCACACACATCTGCATTGCCAAGGTTTTTACATCTCTTTTCTCAGTGTAATTGTTTTTGCTACTTTGTATCTTCTAGCCAGAACAACATCAGAACAATGCCTGAGATAAATACAGACTCACTGGACAGTCAGCAAGTCCAGCTGCTGGCAGAGATGTGCATCCTTATTGATGAGGATGACCAGAAGATCGGGGCAGATACCAAAAAAAACTGCCATCTCAATGTTAATATCGATAAAGGCAAGTGATTTCTTCATGTCTCTTATCCAGTAGTGTTTTTTTCAGATTAGAGACCATAGGTTTGCAATTAGCAGCCACAAAGTTCCACTTGAGTCTTTTGGGAACAGCATGGTATCAATACCGTTGTCCTTTTAATTTATTTTTAACAATAAATACAGCTATTGTCATGTTGCTGTTGCCAACTACTACAACTTTAAAAGAACAGTTGGCAAAAATGTGTTGTGTTTTTTTTTGTCATGGATCAGTAAAGACATATTGTTGGGAAACACGGGTGTATAGTCAGTAAACAAGAAAAAGAGCAGACTTCGAATAAAGAAAAATGTCTTAATCTACTTTGATAAAAAGTTAAACTAAACTGTGGGGTGTACTGGATCAAAGCGCTAACCAGTATCATGGACTAGTGACACTGCATCGTAGACAAAAAAAACTGGCTGTTCTTTAAACAAGCAGGAAGTTCGGGAATACAAATGTGTTTTTTTTTTAAAAAAATGAGTATATCTTAAAGATAAAATCTTTATGAAACATCCATATTGGTTTTGTTCCAATTTCACTGAAATTCCGACACAATCCAAATATATTCTAAAACAACTACTTTATTGTATATATTTTTCCTCAGCTTAAAGGGCTACTATTGGCATCCGGACCACTTCAGTTCATTGGTGGTCTGGGTGCACAGTGCCAGGTCCCTTAACCCTGGAAAGGTAATGATTGTAATTTTTAATTAACTGCAATAATCACCTTTATGAGTTAACTCCAACGCTAGTGGCTTTTCAACGGACAGCCACTAGACGGTTTTTGGTATGCATAAGGATGTCCATCGTCACTGTATAATGCTTTCCTATGGGGTTGTTCTGATGAGAGTGTGGCCATTGCCGCAGATGCACATTAGGTGTCCCCAGCCGGACAATGTCGGAGGGGGACTGGAAAACTATTGGGAGCTATAGTTGTTTTCCTGGCATTATAGATTCCCTTTAACAAAGGTGTAAATTCCCACAGCGATCACTAGTGATGGCTGTGTGGAAAAATAATTGTCTCTCTGATAGCGAGACAATATCTAAAGTGTCTCCTGTGGTCTTGCTGGTTTCACCATAGACATCAGTGCCCTTGGCAAATTAAGTGTCAGGAGCTAAAGAAAGAAGATGGTGGCACCCGCAGAGGATAGTGTTAGGTAAGTATATCTCAACTGCATTGCACTCCTGGGCTGCTACTCTCCAAGTAGATATGTCACCAACCCGGAAGGTGACAGAGCAACTTTAATTTAAAAAGGTCATTTGGCTTACTAACATTAACATATATAATAACATGCAAGGTACATGAATGTTTTCTGTTATGTTTAAGTGAGCGCGTGTAATGACAGCAACCGGAACAGAGAAAATAAATGTAATGTCTGCTTTAACTCTTGCCTTATGTTGTAGCACAGTCTTTTCACATGTCAATTTATTTTTACAGGTTTATTGCACAGGGCATTCAGCGTTTTCCTATTTAACACTGAAAATAAGCTGCTGTTGCAACAGAGATCGGATGCAAAGATCACGTTTCCTGGTTAGTATTGTGGATAGGAGTTGCATAGTACTGGTCGCTTTAACTGGGCTTGACTGAACTTCACATTGCATCTTACTTTGGTCATTAATTGTTTGCTTGTATAGTTACTGATGATTATGTTCCATGATGTCTTCCACAGACGGAGCTGTGATGGCATGGAATGTCCAAATGTTTTGGTGTGTGCAGGGATAAATATTAATGCTCTAATATATTGGGGTGTACTTCAAGACACACTTTAAAAAAAAAAAAAAAATGATATTTAACCAGCAATTAAACTCTTTTACACAAATATACAAACTAGAATAAAGCAAGAAAGGTTAACAAAGTACATGATAATCATTTGCAAGCTTACTATAAACTTTTGTCCGTTTGTGGGGTTTTTTGGCACGCCTCTTAGCTACGGGAGTTTCTTTAGCCTCTCATTCATCCACCCATCTCATTTGAATTGGCACTAACCATGCTTGAGAAACTATGTGCACACTCAGTCATATTATGCATTATTATACAGTACAGGAGGATTGTGTGTGTGTGATATTGCCACATTACTATGACCTTTCTCAGTCACAGCCATGGGAGGTGTGGCTAGGACTGCATGAACAGAAACAAAAATGATTAATCAAACAAAAGCTCAAATTTGCGCCATTTGCTATACGTCTGTTCAACCATCATTTACCTCTTTCATATTAAATGCACCCACACTTATTATATATCATTTTGTTCAGGAGAAAGATGGCTTTCATTTCACATAGAATATACATATATGAAACCTAATGTAATATGTGTGTTTTATTGCAGTAAAAGCTAATCATATTTGTGTTCAGCCATGTCTCATGAGTACAGGTAGTACAGGTAGTATGGGGTTTGGAAAGTTAAAGGGTCAAGCATATGGCTTTCCCCGTTTTCAGTTTTTACACATTGAAATTGCCAGGTTGATTTGCTGGGCTTATGTTGCCTTTCAAACCATGTGGCAGCCCAGAAATAAAAATTACCCCCATCATGGCATACCATTTGAAAAATAGGGTATGTCCAATACGTGCGTGCCTGCCTGCCTGCCTGTCTGTCTGCCTGCCAAACATAGGATCTGCCTCTAGGTACGCCACTGATTAAGAGGACAGTTTATGTCTACCTTGAACTATGGTACAAATTACATTTTAAGATTGTCTAAGCCAATATTGTCATAATTGGTCTTTTAAGGATCATATGCCAGAGCTGAAAGACCCATGTAATGCTTTCTCTATGCTGACCGTCAGGTGCGCATGACAGAGCTATGACTAGGAGCCAAGAAGGAGTGCCAAATTGCAGGATGAAGAGGTGTAGTTCTCTACATTTCATATTATTATTATTATTTTTTTTATTTTTTTTACACCTCACAAATGCATATTTATTAAATATAGGGATAAGTAAACCTAGTAGTAAAAATCCTGTTAAATGACTTACCCTTTAGCATTTTACAAGAGTGATACACTTTGACTTTAGGCTAGGGTGGAGTCAGTGGTCATTTCTGTATATATTTTTAGGCTTCTGGATTATGTTGCCAAAGCAGCTTTGCCCGCTCTGTGTTTATAATTGACATTTATCGCACTTATTAAAACAAAATCAAATTGGCATCTCTTCTCAGTCAACTTTGTAATAATGTGGATTGTTCTCTCTTTTTCTTGATATTTTTTGGGGAAATTGTTTTTACTTTAATATGATTGCTACATTATATTTGTTGTATTTCTGGGGACAAACATACAATGACACAAATTCTTTTTAGTGAAAGATTTATATGCAGAATTTCACCGTTGTATTAGTCCTATTGCTGGCTAACCTTTGGTAAGCCATTGCTGTACTATGTAAGGGTGCATCTATGAAAATTAGGATTTTTGACCTTTTTTGCATGTGTTTGTTTTCTAATATTTCCCAGATTGTTTTACAAACACTTGCTGCAGCCATCCCTTAAGTACTCCGGAAGAAACGGAAGAACAAGATGCTCTAGGGGTGAGACGGGCAGCGCAACGGCGCCTGAAAGCAGAGCTTGGAATTCCAATGGAACAGGTGATATTCTGACACGTTAGAAAGGACAATGAACCTTTGAGAGCAGACTGCATCTTCAATTTTCCATGCAATTTATTCACACCTCTTGTAGTCAATTCACTGTGCCAATTATAATGCAGTCAAAAACACAAATCTTTGTTCTATATAAAGATCCGGTTAAGTTCTTGCTTCAGATGAACATTCTTGAATTCTTGCCATCTAGCAGGGCACGTCTTATTTTAACTTCAGGGTGCAAAGATATAAGTGGACTTATAGTTCCTTACTGAAGGCAACTAGCACATGCTGCCAAAGGCTGAACCTTTTGAATGTAATTAGAGCAGATAATTTCTGACTACTCTTGCAATGACCAGGATTATTCACGGATAGTCAAACTTGCTTCTATCCTGTGCAGGAATTCCATGAATTCGAAATGTTGCCATCAATACACAATTTGTTAAATGGACACTCTAATTGCCTCAGCATTATATACTGAAGCATAGGTTATAGTACAAAGAGGTCCAGCTCTGCCAGTAGGTTATTATACGAGTAGGTTTATGTCTGCCTCCACACACTTGCTTATATCTGCAGAGATTGGCAAAAAATCACTGCCACTACACATTTCCAATATAGTATATCCAATATTTTTGTACTTTGTGTGCATACCATTGAAGTCCAGAGCATACTCCCTTCCCCCCCAGGCTTGCTAAGCTACAGCATTTCTGCCTCCAGCACCCCACTCTCCACCCCACCTTCTCAATAAGCTATATTATAAAGCATCGAAAGAAAAGGAAAGCCACTTGTGACTCCAGCACAGACACTTCTCAATGAGAAGCCTCTGATTGGACAAATCCATGGTGTTAAGGAAAAAGAAAGGAGTTGCAAATGCTGCAGATAAGATATTTTGTATTATCATTTAAATATTATTGAGAATGTTTCACAGTGTGGTACAGCAATATGATGGCAATAGTAATTACAAAACGTGAATGATGGGAAGCAAGACTTTACAGCCTCTGTGAGAACAATATAAACAGTAAAGACCTCATTGTGTGGTAGGTTAGAGGCAAGGAATTACAGTTGTAGTTCTTCACAGGCTACATAGTTATGGAGCTGATAAACCTTCACAAAAGTAAAAGCCGCATAGTGCACATGAAATAAACAAGTAGGTTTTTACATCATAGATTAGCTTGGAAAAGAGTGTATGCGCTTAAACAAAATTTAGAGCAAGACAGCAGTGTACTTTTTCTTTAATTTTGCTTATTTTATTGTTTATAACGCCGAAGCAACCCAGCTTCAAAACGATTTTGTTTTTGCCTCTGATGTATCAAATACACAGACATATCAAGCAATACGATTTTCTTATCTCCAGAGCTCTATACAATGTATTGCTATTAGCATATACACTGCTAAGTTAATATGTCTGTGTATTTGATATATCAGAGGCAAAAACAAAAAAAGTTTTAAAGCTGGATTGCTTCCGGTACTAAACAATAAAATAAGGAAAGTTAAATAAAGTCCAGAGAATTAAAAAAAAAAAAAAAAAAAATAGAGATAAGGGACGTAAAAAAAGAGCCTGCGTGAAGACCCCTCTGAGTGACCAAATGGACAAATATGTGTCCAGACTCCCCTTCGGGTCTTGTACTGTGTACTCACAGCTAGAGAGGATTTTTTTTTTTTAAATAATTAGATGTCCAACCGGAATTTAGAACATAAAATTCTACAGGAACAGACTAGTTTCTTGAAGGGTTAACAACCTTCCCCAATCACGGGGGAAAGAGAGGGGAAAAAAAAAAGTATAAAATTACAAGATAAATGTAAAATGTATCTAGGCTTTAAAAAATAAATATATATATATATATATATATATATATATATATATATATATATATATATATATATATATATATATATATATATATATATATATATTTATTCTCTCAAGTATGTATGGATACATTGATCTTGAGGAAGACCAGGTTCAAAACGTTGGTCATTTTTTTGATGGATCACTTATTGGAATAAATCCTTTTATATTCACCTAAAAAGCCCTGAGAGTGCATCTCTTATTTTTCTATATATCTACAACGTGGGATTGCACCCAGGCATAAATTAACTTCATTTGGAGAAAGGGTGAGTGCCAAGATACCTATTTTGTGATTATATATATATATATTATCTCTGCAAGGTAACAAATTAATGTCCGTTTAGCCATGCTTAATGCTATTCTTTTGACTAATTGCTGAAGCATATGAGGGTGTGTCAGCTCTGCAGAAACTAGTATTTTATACAAGTGCTTAAGCTTTTGCATCATTAAATGGGGGCAGTGTGCATTCTGACATTGTTATATCTGTGGATTCAGCTATTTTGATCTTAAATTTATTTTATATTTTTAATTCCTGGCTCCTCTCACTTTACTGTATAACTGTGAAGAAAATAAAGTGAATTCTTTTTATTAACGTAACATTTTTGTTTACTTTTACGGCCTAGGTTACTCCGGATGAGCTGAAGTACTTGACTAGAATTCACTATAAAGCTCAATCAAATGGAATCTGGGGAGAACATGAAATAGATTATATCCTGTTTGTACAGAAGGATGTGACTCTAAATCCAGACCCCAATGAAATTAAAAGCCACTGTTTTGTGTCTAAAGAAGAACTCAAGCAGCTATTGGAAAAAGGGAAACGAGGTGACGTTCAGATCACCCCATGGTTCCAGCTCATCGCAGATACCTTCCTTTACAAGTGGTGGGATAATTTGCAAAATTTAAAACCTTTTGAGGATCATGACAAAATTCACCGTATGTAATCGAACTAAGGCAAATTTCCAGCAAGATTTGGTGTACCAAATACAGAACATTACTCACCTGTGGACTACATATACATATGGTACATGTATTTGATCTAAGAATGGAGTTATCATGGTTTCAAAAATTAATCTCTCAACCATTTAGCCCTATTATAAGAACTAAAAAAGGCTCTACTGTAATGGAACGATATCTTATAGATAAGAGTGTTTCAACAAGATACTAAGGATTTGTTAAAATGTCTTAACATACCTTTTAATTCTGTCCCCATTAGTGATATTAAAAATAAAGATATGTTTCAAATAGCAGTAAAAGTGCAGATTGAAATGGATCAATGACTAACAAATTTGTTATTTAAACATTATTTGACAACTTCAATCCAATAAGCAACAAAACAATGAAAACATTTAAAGCAAATATGAAGTCATCAGGCACAGTACTATAAAGTGGCCACATACAGCCCATGAGGATGCACTGTTGGTACTCTAATAAGTAGCCTTGACGTTTTGTACGAAGAGGAGGAAACTTTGGAGAGGCAGGATAGGGGAGATTTGTTTATGTGAAACATCATTTCTTTGGGCAGATGGTTGTACAATTTTCTCATTTTGTAGTGCTTATATAGAAATATATCATGGTCTAGGAATGGGAATAGATACAGGTCATATGTCCTGGGCTAGGAGTGGGTTTCTGTGGAAAGAGGAAACTCCTAATAGTTTAATCTTTAGGAATTGGAGATGATTAGGCGTGTAAATAACAATCAGGCAACCACAAATCCTAGATGTTTTTAAGAGTTTTAAGAGCGACTTTGGACATTTCAGCTGAAAAGCTTTGAGAGTCTATGTAGATGACCACTCAACTACACAACTGTTTTCTTCATTATCATCAAAAACCCTTCTTGGTATTCACTTTGCATTATTTAAAAAAATTAAATAAAAGTTTAAGGAATTTATAATGTTGCTGTATGAGCAATTTGTTGTAAATAAACATAAAGGAAAAAAATATTCTTCCTCAACAGGCGAGGTTTGTTATTTACTAACGAGTGAAGTGCCAGGAATTTAAAATTTTAAAGCCAAAATAACTACCGGTAAATTAAAAGGGAAAAAAAACACAAAAAGTCATCCATTTCCAGTTTTTTACTATTTTGGATTAAAATTTTAAATCTCTTTGGGTTATTCACTAACAAGTGAATGTTGGGAATTCAAAGAGAATTCATTTACAAAAGAAAAGGTTTTTAGTGTGATATTCGGGTGCTTAATAAAATTATACAAAAAAGGAGTATATTTGTCTAATAGCAGCTTTAACACTCTTTAGGTTCTCCTATTTACTCGGAAATCCAATAGTGAACCAAAAAACACAATGTGCTAGAACAAGGTTTAGGTGATACTACCCCTTTCAAAGTCAACAGTGTATAGTGCAGAGCTAGTAAGTCAAGGGCTTACCCATACAGCATGAAACATTTTCGTATGGTTACCGGAAAAAAGATAAAAATAAATATACAATATCGTTTACAATTGGCATGGATAAAACCAAATATAAAAGCGGGAATGCTCACAATTCTAGAGCCTTTTCAATGTTATGGCTCTGATTGTACTGGATTTCTGTGTTTTTAAGGTAGCAACAGGGACCTTCTTGCTTGTACCCCTTTAGACTCCAATAAGATATTCAGTTACAGCTGTGTCAAAAGGAGGAACTCTTAATCAAACCCGTATGCATATATCACACTAGATGTTACTCTCTGAGATATCCTACTGCTTTGGAAACATCTGACTGTCCAATTTAATGTTCATTATAGAGGAGCATTGGAAACCATGAGTGCATGTGCTGTGCTTGCTGTAATCCACCAAAGATTCTCTTGTCATTGAAAATTGTTGCATTCAATGATTCTCTGACCAAATCAGCTTCCAAAAACACGAATTGTCCATAGACTGTAAATGCCAGTCACAACCTGTAGACATGGACATAAAACATCTTACAATTACTAGACACAAAACTATTTCTATATTGGTATTTTCCAGTGGTAGGCCTCCACAATGTAAATGTATAGTTGTCACATTTCAAATATGCACAATAACTCAGTAAAATGCATGTCACATTGAGAATTGTGAATGGAAAAACCACTTGCCAGTTGCTAGACCAAAGAGGTTTCTCCGTAAGAAGGACAAAGACTGCAGTGCACCGATGGGTGGGACATTATATCTGCAGCTATTGCAGTAATGAGGAATTTGTACCTCCCGACGCCTAGGACATGTAATTCTGGGGCCGAACAAGGAGTTTTGATTTTCCTTTCCTTTTTTTTTGTCTTTAACCCTACTGCAATCAAGTGACAGACTATTGCTGGCAGCAATGGATAAAATAGGGCTGAGATATGTCATATCTCTTCCACACTGTCAGCCACCCACTGCTAACTAGTGAGGTGATATTGACAAAGCAGAGGGGGAGGACAGCTGATTTAGGAAACAACTTCTGTAAGTCTATATTCCCACAGCAAATGTTTCCTAACTCTTAACAGCAACTGGCTAGTAGCTGCATGTCCAAGGTCCCTCATAATTCCAGCAACTGGATGCCAATGTAAAGGTAAAAGGTGAAGGCCATTGCTAAAAGGGAAAATATATAAGAGGCTGTACCTAAATGAGAAAATACAAAGAATATAGGAGGATCTAGGTAGAGAGGAGGATACTCCTCGTCCCTACACTAGGTCAACCAAGAAAGGAATCCCCATCCTAGTTGTAATGCTGAAAAAATAATAATGATGGTAATAAAACTTAACCTTTAATTATAATGAATAAAACTATGTAAACACACGAAAAAAGACAAAAACTAGTGAATAAAATAAAAGAAAAATGATGAGTGCCACCACAATCACTGTGGGTATGGACAATAAAGATAGTGATAATTAATCATATAATTGTCCTACAAGAATCCCCTATAAATGGATATCTAGCAGGAGACTAGTAGCCAATAGGGTGAAAAAATATAGGGAGGAGAGAGAGAGAAAAAATATATGATATATGAAACAATTTAGTAGGCTACTCGTGTAAAAAGAAAGAAAGAGGATAGGATACTCAGTGACAAACTATAACAGAGTATCCAGTGCAAATAGAAACTAAATGCACCATATACCAGAGACCTCTATGTTGTGAGAAAAATAGATAGTATTCACAGGGAAATCACTGCAATATAAAGGAGGAATGATCTAAATGAAGAGAGATGCACTGCGTGAATCAAACAGAATAATCCCTCCTAGAGTGCCCCCCAAAATCCCCTTCGCTGATAACAGATGTCTGGAACCTAAAAATCCATACTCTCTCCAAGCTAGCCTACCTAGCAAAGTCAAACATCATTGTTCAACTATATGCCATCTCACCATGAATGATTAGGACTAAAAGCCTTTTTTGTGTCAGTATAAACATACTTCTTTCCTCTTATTTTGAGAGCACATAATTCCTGTAAATAGTTCTCTTTATTTCATCAGGTCAAATCATCTGACAGTATTATAAATGAACAGACACTATATATATACCTGTTTCATCAATACTTTATTAATGACCAGCTCAATGCTGAGGTGATGGTTCCCTAATGGGAACATTAGCATGTTTCTGTCAATCATTCACATATGGGGGAGGTGCTTGTTCAAACGCCTTTCGAGCGCGAACAGTTTGACACGCCCACACATTTCTCGCTGACCCGGCATACCTATTTAAGGGCCGGGCGGGGGACAGACCGCTGCTTTACCTCTAACGAAGGCGCATTGTGAGCGCTGAAACGCGCGTTACGTAGTTTAGTCTTGAGTTTGCCACGTGTGAGTCTAGCTAGGAGTGAGCACTAGTATCTAGTTTTCAGCATTTTGTTATTAGCGATAGGGATTTGGGGGAATTCGAGAGGCAGTTTTAGTTTGCAGTCTGCCATCAGGTAGGCTAGCTTGGAGAGAGTATGAATTTTTAGGTTCCAGACATCTGTTATCAGCGAAGGGGATTTTGGGGGGCACTCTAGGAGGGATTATTCTGTTTGATTCACGCAGTGTATCTCTCTTCATTTAGATCATTCCTCCTTTATATTGCAGTGATTTCCCTGTGAATACTATCTATTTCTCTCACAACATAGAGGTCTCTGGTATATGGTGCATTTAGTTTCTATTTGCACTGGATACTCTGTTATAGTTTGTCACTGAGTATCCTATCCTCTTTCTTTCTTTTTACACGAGTAGCCTACTAAATTGTTTCCTATATCATATATTTTTTCTCTCTCTCTCCTCCCTATATTTTTTCACCCTATTGGCTACTAGTCTCCTGCTAGATATCCATTTATAGGGGATTCTTGTAGGACAATTATATGATTAATTATCACTATCTTTATTGTCCATACCCACAGTGATTGTGGTGGCACTCATCATTTTTCTTTTATTTTATTCACTAGTTTTTGTCTTTTTTCGTGTATTTACATAGTTTTATTCATTATAATTAAAGGTTAAGTTTTATTACCATCATTATAATTTTTTCAGCATTACAACTAGGATGGGGATTCCTTTCTTGGTTGACCTAGTGTAGGGACGAGGAGTATCCTCCTCTCTACCTAGATCCTCCTATATTCTTTGTATTTTTTCTTCAAACGTATGTAAGGGTTACCCCCTTTTGGGATCCCCCAGACACACTCATAGGCTGGTTGCCTTTGGTCACCGGCCATCTCTTTCATGTACCTAAATGAGGGCATGGCTGAGTACAGGAAGGAAAGATGGAGGTGATTTGGAACATAATGTACATTACATAAAGCCCCCACTCACACCCACACACATTATGCCAGCACATACCACGGAGTAGGACATAGGGCCAGACCCACACTCCAAATGTTCACAAACTAAATCCAAATGGTGGAACTAAAGCAAAAATAACCAGTTGTGTCAAAGTTGGAGAATTATTCCAGTTCAGCAATTTTTGCCTCTTTTTCCATTCCGATTTACAGTATATGGACAAACGTATTGGGGGACACCTCTTATTATTATTGATGTCGGGTGTTTCAATACGACATTGTCACAGATGTATAAAATCAAGCACCTAGCAAAGCAGTCTGCATTTAGAAACATTTGTGGTAAAAATGGGTCATTCTGAAGAGCTCTGTGAATTCAAGTGTGGTACTATGATAGGATGCCACCTCTGCAATAAGTCAGTTTGTGAAATTTCATCCTTGCTAGTTATTCCACGGCAAACTATAAGTGGCATTATTGGAGGAGAGGTAATGGTATGGGGCTGTTTTTCAGGGGTTGGGTAGGCAAGCCTCTTACTGCCAGTAAAAGAAAAACTTAATGTTTCAGCATACCAAGACCTTTTGGACAATGCTATGTTTATGACTTTGTGGTAACAGTTTGGGGAAGGTCCTTTTCTATTCCAGCATGACTGTGCCCCATATGCTCCTTACAGGAGAGCTCACTAACACACAGATTCACTACAGACAAGCTCACTGACACACACATGCTCACTACAGACAAGTTCACGACCACACACATGCTTACTACAGACAAGCTCACTGCAAACACATGCTCACCACAGACAGGCTAATACACACCCATGCTCACTAACACACACACGATCCCTACAGACAAGCTCACTGACACATACAAGCTCATTCACTAGCAGATGCGCACACAAAAAAGCAAACTCACCAGCAGATGCGCGCGCGCACACACACACACACACACACAAGCTCACTCACCACACACACAGACACGCAGGCAGTCACACACACACTCACAGACCTGCTTCTTACCTCCAGATCCCTTGGAGCTCCTGGAGACTGGTTGCTGGGGGAAGCAGGGACTCCTTCCTGCTTCCCATGCTGCAGTTACCTGGCTCATTCAGCCCCACCCCCGTCGCACGCTAAGCTCCGCAATATAATTTTTTTTTTATTATAATCCTGGCTGGTCATGTGCGAGCTGTGTTGGCCTGCTCCCATAGGGCCCTGTGCAGACTGATCAGGGATGATTAGGGTTGTCAGCCCAGCCCCAGGTGCCGCGGCCCACCGTGAAATTTCCCGGTATGTCTGGACTACCGCTTTAATCACTTGGACAAGTGGATACTTTTTACATTTCCACACCTCTACATTGCAAGCTAATATGTCATACCAAAAAAGATAACATTCAAAAGAAAGTACATGCATGTTTTCTTTGGTGGTTTAACCATTAAATCATAAACTATTTAGTTTTTTTTTCTTCTTCCAATGGAGTGTTCCTCCAAGAGCCAAGAACAACATAATCAAAAACCGCAGAGCACAGTAGCAGTGGACTGCACAGTTTAAATTATGCTGTTCAAATGATGCAACAAACTGACGCATGTCGCCAAAAGAAAACTTGTGCTCCAGGTATATATAGAAATTAAAAGTTACTCCAAGGACAATGACTATTTCAGTGATCTGAAGTGGTCATGGTGCCTGGAATCTGTATGACAAGCATTTTGTTATGAAACACTGCACATATGGAGTTCAATCCCTCTGGCAGCTTCATTGGGGTGTCATTAGCCTGTCAATTCTGTGCAACTTTCATTGCACAGAAATTCACTCACTGGTTGAGAGCAATCAGCCGACACTCAATCAATGGATGTTAATGGCTGCAGGTTCCGAAGCTCGGCAGAAACCAGAAGTGCGCCACCAGACCATGTAATGGCAAACCTTTGCTAACTGGGCCAGAGTGCTCCTGACACTATAACCACTACAGCCCACTGTAGTGGTTATGGTGGTTGGAGTAACCCTTTAACTGCTTTTTACTGGATAAAAAAAACAAAAACAACTCGACAACTTCATATAAAATTAACTAATGCATCTCAAGTTATAATGAGAACTTATTCCTAGGCTTCTGTACCAAGTTAGCCAGCTTGATTCACCTGCAGAACATCCACACACAGGCAAAGCCTAGACAATAGGCTGCCAAAATGAATAAACACTTGTCCAGTAGAACAAAAATCATCAGAATCAGATCTTAACATTTAGAAACTGATTAATCGGATACCAGGACTCGCTACTTTTGATTGAAAATGTAGCCTTGGCAAAAAGAAATTCAACCATGGTGAATATGCTATGGACTCTCCAGGCTTTTTTTTTTTTTTTTTTTTTAATAAAGGTCTGGCTTTTTTCTTAGGACTTGAAATTTCAAGCCCTGCTTATATTGTAAAATAATGTGTACAAGATAATCTTGCCAAGTGCATCAGAGAGTGGCTTTCCACTGGTAAATAAATCACAAATGACAATAATTAAATATGCATCAACATTCAAGGGTTGAAGAAATCTTTTAAGAATTTTTTTATAGATTACTACTGGTTACTGGTCCTACTGACCAGTTTGGGATAACCGAATGAAATAGGACAATCTTTTTATTAATATTGGCAATATTGATTTTGTGAACATTGATGTATACGAACCTTGACTATATCCTAAAGAATTGGAAATAAATTAAACCAATTATATTATACTTATTGGATTTGTGTATGATTTATTGATAACATTTTTATTTATTTTTTCAGATTTTCTTTTTACACTCGCTATTGTTGGATAGACCTATTGCCTTTTGTGATTTAATCTCACTAATTTTAAAGTACTAATAATAAAGGTTGTTTTAATTTGTTGTATCGCACCATCTCCACATCTTTCTTTGTCCCTATTTTTGAGGACTTAAACCCATCGGTCATGTGGCTGACCTTCCACCACAGTTAGCAGTTTGACATATTGTCCAATTGCTTACAATTTTGTGAAACCTATACTGGTATCCCTGGGAAAATTCTGTCCGGTAAAACATTAAGGACCTCAAACTACAAACGGTCATGAACAAGGGGACTTTGAAAATTAATAGTCATAAAAGGTTCACGATTCCAACTCATAAACCGAGAATATAATTAGTAACATACAAAGATACAACATTCGGGGGGGGGGAGGGGGGCGAAAGAGGAAGACTCTTCAGGCACCAACAAAGTTTAGATGCATTTGATTAATGGTGTCAAATTAAGGAATGAATAGTTTATCCCCAGGTGTAGTTCTAGTCATCACTTTGCAGGAGTGTATCTTCTCAAATTACTGGGGTCAAATTGTGGTCCTCCATTCTCTTGTTGGACTACAACCCCCCCGGATTCTCTTGAAGTATACAGTTAGCCAACAATTATAGGAATTCTATTCCATCGTTACTCAACAATCTTACTCTAAATTCTACATTTGTATGTGTGCATCTTATCTGATTGGCTTGTTCCTGTCAAAGTATGCCAAACAATATACCTAATCTTATGTCCTGAGTGCTGCAGAGATTTTCCTACAAATTTTTATCTACACAAGAACCACGTTTTAACCTTGATCGATTACAGGGTTATTCACTAAACTCCAAAATGAGTAAATTAAAACCAAACCGCAAAATGCATGTAAAAATAGTTGACCTGAAAAAATTAACTAACTCTACTGTGGTTACAAAGGTTAGCTATTGTATCATCAGTTGTGCAATTTGGAATTACTTTCCCAAGATTAGTTAAAAACCCTGATTGAATGATATTGTGTGATTTTCTGAAATGAGACTTAAAAAATGTTAGCAACTTTAACTTTGTATAGACAAGGAACCCATTTAAGAATTATTTTGAAATCATAATTTTAAAAAAGCAACTGTAGCCAAGAAAATATACTCTGATGTTATTTATTTAAGGATGTCACAGAGGCATCCACACACATTTCAGGATGTAACACGGAACTTTGGAAAGTAACACTGTCTATACATGGTTACGGGTAAATATATGGCACCTTCTTCGGTCTTGAGACAGTTGATGTATAAATGACACATAGGGTTAGATCTCAATCTCATTAGCTGACCCATTAGCCTTATATAATATTTTAATTTATCAGATGCAATTAATTAAATCCCATGGTAAATATATGATTTCACTGTTGTAAAGTAGTAGAGAAAATTCTAAATAAAAGCTGGTAGGGATTCCAGGTGAGTGCATAGCACTCTTTCCATTGGTAGGCCTGTATACAAGTTCTTAGAGCTGTAGAATGAGAAGACTCGTTGATGCTTGTTCGATATTTATCTCCTGTCGTTTGTGCCAGATTTCCTTTTGCCAGCCAGTAAATGTTTGGGCTTCAGATCAAACACATGTCTGTCAGCCTCTCCTTTCTTGCCCATGCGATTCATTTTCCTCTGGGAGTTTTTCATGATCTTATTGGCTTTCCTTGCCATCTATTAAAAACAAAAGATAAAAGATTGCACAGTGTTTACTAAAGCATGCTAGGAAAAGTTTTTGTATTGCAGTTCATTAAAGGGGTAGAAATGTAATCCTATTGTTTTTAAATGCACTATTAAAAGGTAATGCAAAATTTTAAAAAAAAAATACAGGAAAGCATGCAAATTGCAGGGTTTCCCCCCCCCAAAAGAGGTCTATGAAAGCAGTGGTATATTTGTAAGAAACCTGGGCATGTGTGTGAATGGAGGGATGTATGCGTGTGGAGGGTCCGTTTGCATGTGAATACAGGAGTGTATAAGTGCCGAGTGTCAGTGAGACTGTAAATACAGGTCTGTAACCCATTCACCTTGTCCCACCATAGACAGTAACTAGATCTTCCAACCTTAATGAACAGCCCACCCTGCATAGTCAGTCAATTCCACCCCCTATTAGACTGTAGCCAACTCCTCCTGGATCCCTATTTCTAGCAGCCCATTTTTCCCCTCTCCTCCCTCATAATCTATTCTCCTCCTCTACACCAAGCCCTATTTCTGTCACTTATTACGAGGTCACCATTTGCTTACTTCTGCCTCATCTTCAAGCAAATAACAAAACAAAAGGACCAGGCACTCAATACTAGTTGAGTAACATTTAATCCCATAAAATGGGCCTTTGCCGAGCCATGAATAATTTTGTTTAAAGAGGACTTTCCCCTAAAATATTTTAGAACATTAGAATGTCTGCTTTATCAGAACACGCGTCATGGTTACTAGATCTAGAACAGTGTGCAAACTGGCAGCACTAACTGAAACAGGACAACAAAAAAAATTTAAAGAGGATAACACAGACCTTCACATCTCGAACTCCAGACTGGTCCCTTGGGGGCCTTGAGTTGCTTCTGCTGCGAGTTACGGAACTTGGTGGTTCTGATTCTTCACGCTTACGCTTTCTTTGTACACTTCTTGATCTTGCTTGTGTTGCATAGTGTGTCTGGAGAGAACACGGAAGGGTTAGGGGGGGATAACTAGAGGGAAGTAGAACGCTTATATCTTACACCAAAATATAGTATTCCAGTAAATCACTTCAGATTGAAAATTAGCAATAGTCGTATTTGACAAATGCTTCAAACTTGCAGTCTTAAAGACAAAAGTCTGTAAATCAAGAGCGAATTCAAAAAAAGACACTAACACAGCAAAAATCTTACACTGCTCCTTTAAACAAATACAAGTCTTAAAAGATCATCTGTAACAAAATATTCTAACCTCATCCTTCTCACTCATATCAAGCCCAAGGGAACCCATCTCCTTCTCTAAGGTCTTGCGTTGAACCTGTTTTGGAAACAAATTATTAAACTCTTCATTACATACTTAATAAAGCATATTAATCAATCGGATAAAGCGGCCAACTTTAAACCGCTCACTGAATAAAACTTGAGAAATGTGAAGAATATTGACCAAATTGTAAAAACCTGTCACATATTCATGTGTCCTGTTTATTTAAATAAAACGTTATGTCTTTTTTTTTTTCTTCTAACCAAAGAGGTAGGGGAAGTTTAAATAAATCAACCTCTGCTTTTTGTGACATTAGCAATAATTAATACAATATGTTGCAGCAAGAAGATAATGTGTGCATATAAAAGGTTTTTTTTATTCCTGAATTGTATTACTTATAACTGTTACTACAACAGTTCTTAGCATCAAAAGGGGTGGGGGGTTGAGCTGTGCATTCAATGTTAAACTCATCTTAAATTTACAGATTAAGGCACAGTAATGTATCAGCAGGTCACAAAAGACAAAGGTTCCAAAGGACCAGTTATTAGCTGAAAGGTCTCAGCAAAATAAAATAAAAAATATGATAACAGCGCATCATGGATTTTAACAACACAAGAACTGTATCTGTCAGGATCTGTCCATTAGGGTGTCAAGTGCCCCTTTATAAATGTAAAGAAAAACAAGGTGTAAATTATAACAGGGGTGGGGGGGAAACAAGAAATAACTGATGGACCGTAGGAGGGCAACATAATCACATCAATAAGTAGAAGTGTTTTGTAAGTTCAGTGTCCATTTAAAGAACCACTATAATGCCAGGAAAACATACTCGTTTTCCTGGCTCTATAGGGTCTCTAGGTCGCCCCCTCCCGCCGGGCTCTAGGGGGTGGAAGGGGTTAAATTTACCTCTTTTTCCAGCGCCAGGTGGGGTACTCTCCTCCTCATCATCGGCTGAATGCGCATGCGCGGCACGAGCCGCGCGCACGTTAAGCCAGTCCATAGGAAAGTATTCTCAATGCTTTCCTATGGACGCTGGCGTCTTCTCACTGTGAAAATCACAGTGAGAAGCACCTCTAGCGGCTGTCAATGAGACAGCCACTAGAGGCTGGATTAACCCTATTATAAACATAGCCGTTTCTCTGAAACGGCTATGTTTATAGAAGAAAGGGTTAATCCTAGATGGACCTGGCACCCAGACCACTTCATTAAACTGAAGTGGTCTGGGTGCCTATAGTGGTCCTTTAATGAGAAAGTGATTATGGTTGAACAAACTGCTAATCTGCTAGGCCACTACTGAAAAGAAAAAAAATGCTTGGGCCCAAAGTGTTTTAAGTGGATTTTTAGTAGGTCAAGTTTATTTACATATTCATTTATTTATCCCATATTGAGAATGGAACGATCATCTAAAAAGACATGGTGTTTATACATAGAAAATATGTAAAAATACATAAAAGGCGTGCAGAGATGCTGCACTCTATATTGTGGAAATACTACTAGTGACGTAGCAATGTCTCTGGGACACAGCAATGTCTCTTTAACACTTGCCTTTTTAGCAGTTCTGGGGAGTCTTGGTCCACTTTTATCCTTCTCCTTTGACTCAAGAAATTTAAGTTGTTTCTTTTCCCGGATCTGGTGAGCCAGCTGTCTGATCTCTGTCATTTCCTCGTCCTCACTTTCTATATCGCTGTCATATTCTCCAGCAGTTTCTTTCAGCTCCTCCTCTTTCTCCAAATCTTCAAGTTTCTTAGAAAATAAAATGGATCAATTGATAGATGTAAGACACAAGAATAAAAACACCTCAGTCTAAGGATGATGACAGATGTAGTGAAGGTGCTACTCCAACTAAAATGTGTGTGATACTATTGCTGAAAACAAATTTCACCTTCAAACTCCCCATGAAATCAATCCATTCTCCAACACAAAACTGATCACTCAAAGGCCAACAAACTAGTTTAAAAAGGGTTAGTAATACTCTATTCTCATCTATCCAGAGACAGCCAATCAAGATTGTAGGTGCAAACCAGAGCACCGGATGGTTTAAAAATACAGCTTCCATGATACTTTATTATTCCAAAGGCATGCACAGCATCATGGCAGTTGTAGTTCTAAAACATCCGGGTATCTACCTTTTGGGAACCCATGGTGTAAACATTATTTATTCTTGAATATATGTAGGTAGAATTTTATATAACTATCTGATTGCATATAGGAGTGAAATGCTGATATTTATTAGATCGCTCAAAGATGTGTGTATATTCAAGATGTGCCACATTAAGGATTTTAACAAAATCCAGCTCTGTGAAGAATAATATTTGCCCAATATTTCCCATATGTATTGGCCTACAGTTTGTACCTCAATGTTCTGTCAATAAACTTAACGAGGAAAAACAAAATAGCATGTGCAAAACTAGTGCAGCAATTCTAAACACATTTATTCAATGCAGTATAACGATTCCAGTTGAATGCATGAAACATAACTTACCTTCATAATCTCAGGATCTATATAATCAGCAATATTATGGCCTTGCCAGACCTCTGGTATCTTGTCATATCTTTCTGTTGGATTCATGAGATCCCAGTATTCTTTAAAAATAAAAATACACATTCATGAGCATAAGAGAAAATAGGATTGTGATAAGCATTGGGATTGTTCTCTATTTTGGTCAATTGATCAAATCAGAACTGAACACTGCACGCTGAGTAGCTTCACATGAATGAATGAATAGATAAATATTAACATTCGAATTTGCTAGCAGGTCTGTGAGCAGTTTCCAATAATTGGATTAAATTATGTGTCACAAGATTCTCTCCCAACCACAGATGGAGTTTTGATATCAAGGGTTGGTTCGTTATGGAGACATCTGGATAAGTCCTCAGCCTCATCTGATG